CTTTTATTCGATCTCTCTGCGAATCCGCAGCGAACAAACTCCGTTGAACTTGTTAAAATGTAACTACTAACTTGGTTACAGTATTTTGACTTAGTATAAATAATTATAAACCAACGAAACTGAGTAATAAAATGTTCAAAGTATTATTTTTATTATTTCACGGAGACGAAACGTGCTTTTATTCGATCCCTCTGCGAGTCCGTAGCGAAAACATTCCGTTGAACAAAAGTACAAAGTATTAAGAACCATTAACAATTAATTATGATTGTTAATTATATTTTATTATATATTAACCATTAACAAAATATTCAACACTTTTGAGAATGGTAAAACAAAAACGAAAGACAATTAAACGCTAACATAAAACAATTTTATACTTCGTTTGAAATTGGCCACCATTTAAAACGGCCCATCGATCGGCACTCGTCGATCAATCCATCTTCCGAACGGCTCTCCGAATCTTGACAAAATGGCAGCCGTATTCCACTCGAGAGCTACGACACGGCGTTGCCTCCGCCGATTCGCTGTTCTTATCATTCCAATTTCGCTTCCCGATACGTTTTTTCTCTCCCAGGTTCGATAAAATTGATCGTCGCGAGCTAATTACTAAAGATAGAGAACCACTCGATGGCGGGCTATCTCGAATCTTGACGAAAGAAGCTCGATAAAGCGCTATCGTTGCATTCAGCTTGAAGCCCCGACTGTGGGTCTTATCGATGAAAATTTTCAGGTATTTTCCACCGAAATGGTGCGATTCGCTGCGCGAAACAATCGCGAGAATTTCTACACAGATACGTCCATTTCTTCTTTCGTGTTCGTCGACGAATCGACGCGAAATGAAACTACAGCAATGTCTCTCTAATTGACGCTCAGATCGCCCACAAAAATGGACAATTTGTGGAAGAGGAGATACGATTATTCGATCCTTGCGGTTCATTTTTATAGTTGCGAATTGTCAACAACTATAGAAACGTGCTGCAAGGTTCGAATAATCGTATCTCCTGTTCCCCAAATTGTCCATTTTTGTGGACAATTTGAGCGTCAGTTTGGGAGACATTACTGTAAATGCAAAACTCCGGCCGGTTCTTCTATCCGTGCGCGAGGGTTAACGGCGAGTCCCGGCAGAGAATTGGGTCCATTGTAGGAGCGAGCACCCTGTATAGCCTTCGCTGGACCCACGGAGCGAGCGGGCAACTTCGGAACGTCTGACCCTTGACCCAGGAGTTCTCTCCGTCCTGCTCCACAGATCGCGTTCCTCTTCTGCCCCTTTCTCCTCGTGTTCTTCTACCGTCCTGCACGTTACATACCCTGCTTTATACTTGCGCTTTAAGCGCCCTGGCCTCTTTTAAATAGCGGGCCTGCTCGAGGGGGCCCACGCCGCTCCGGCGAGCAGAGCGTTACCGATCCTCCTGGACTTCCAACGAAATGGAAGGTCCTGCCTCCGAACATCCACCTGGAATATCATTACTGGATCTCCTTCGGCCGGGGCCTTCGGACCGTCAAAAGGCCCGGAATGCTTTATTTATTCGCAATATTGTTGCCGTGCTTTTATCGTCCGCCGTGATCGGGAAAGATTGGCAAAAAATTAGCGCAGTCGTTAGGGTAAGCGTAGGCATTACCGCGGGCGGCTCGAATATATGGCGATTTCTTTTTATAAAAGTAATGAAATGTAACATTTTACAGGGTGTAATCTTCTGAAAATGATTCTCATAATTTTTTATGCGTTTAACAGTAGATTTACGGAGCTCAGAAAACAGCTGTTTTATATTAGTTTGTGAAAGTAACAGTAAGACGTTTATTCTGATTTTTAACAGGTGTTATTGTAACATTTGCCGTAAGTAATATATAAATTAAATAAATAACTCGTAAATGTATCTTTACGGTATGAATAATCGTAAATTAAAAAATTAGTGACCCATCATTTTGACGGTTTCCGTAAATCTAGTGTTAACCATGCGTGCGCAGTATCAGAAAATTATTATACAAACGGAAAGGCGTTCCTGAGACAATTTCGAGTAACTTTTTCCTTTACGAAAATGTTCTCCGAGGCATCGTTTACGAGTTATTAACGAAAAACGGTGACCAATGAGAGACGAGGTCAGCTGGCGTAAGGCGGCGCTAGGCGGTCGAGCCAATGGGCGGAGCGCCGCCTTGCGTTAGCTGACCTCGCCTCTCATTGGCCACAGTTTTTCGTTGATAACTCGTAAACCAAGCCTCGGAGAAAATTTTTGTGAAGGAAAAAGTTGCTCCAAATGACCTCAGGAACCTCTCACCTCTCATTGTACAATAATTTTGGACACCCAGTCTGCGCACGTATGGTTTCTCTACGTCACGCTTTTCAACGAAATCTGTGCTTTCAGAGATGCAATATTTCGAGAAAAGTAAATTATTATTAGTACAATTATTATTTTCTTTGTCAAAGTGCGCCCTCAAACCGCAGTAATACCTACACTTACCCTACTATGCAGCGACGTTATTAAGCATTTTTGCTACATAAAGCACACCGATCGAACGAACTTCGAAATAATTTCGTGCAAACGCTGATAGAAAATTAATTGCATCCGGCGTTAATAACTAGCTAGTTGAATCGTGATGGCGGGCCAGCTGGAGAACGATTCTATTGAATGGGGTCGCGGTGCTCCAGACGGGTTGGATGTCCTGGACGCGGAACTTAACGAGAGGTCAATGTTCACGACACGAAGACATTACCTTGGACATAAATCTAAACAATATTCCGCCGCGGTCACGTTTCATTGATGCCCCAAATAATGGGCCTTATCGCTAGAAAATGCGCCGAGCCGCTCGCCGTTTTTCCACCGAGAACGTTTCGACAGAGATTACACATTGTTTCCCTCTTTTTTTTATCGTCTCGCCGAATGCTTCCCCGTGGCTTTTTAAACGCCGATCGTCCGTTAATCATCGTTTGCCAGGCCGAAGGATCGCAATATTGTAGTTTGCGGTATTATCCGGTCGGTGGAATGTAAATTCGACGAGAGGACAATGCTGAGCGTAATAAAAGGGGAAATCGAATGAAAGACGCCGCCGTGGCGTCTCGGGATTTCGACGTGCTTTTCCGTGTATTTACATGGACGGGACGGGACCCGCGGTATCCGAAGGCAGAAAATAAGTATGAGGTAATAGTTTCTGATGGGCTCGGGATGAGATGGAGGGTCTTACCCCGCTGCTAGACATAAAAGGAATCTCTCTGCCTTGTAATACCGAAGTCAACGGAGCATCCCGGGATGGCATGTTTATATGTGTATAAATAATTAATTAAATTGTGAACCGTAACTTTGTGCACAATATTCACAAATAGAGCACAGTAACTGGGACACAGTAACTGATCTTTGTGGATCATAGGCGCACAGTAACCGACTCTCCAGAACTTTCTTTTCTCTCTTCCATTATTCGAAGGAGGTTCGATATTTGTTAAATTATTATTGTTTATTGTGTTATTCGAAATTCACCTTTTTAATATTAATTAAATTGTTAAGGGCGTTCTTATCAGTTGGATGAAAGCAAACAGCGCCGATTAAGATATAAAATTCCCCTGCGATCGCAGTTTCGAACCCCCGAAACTTTCTCGCGCGCGATCCACCCCCGGGAATTATCAGGAATTAAATGCCATTAAATTTACGATTGCTCGCCGACAATTACCGGCGCGGCGAGGAGACGTGCGCTCTCGGTGCACGCCGCGCGGTGGTTACCCTCTGGTAGCGTAATAACAGGGAGGCAACCCTGAAATTGTGGTCTCACCCGATATGCCCCGTCTCGATGGGGCATCGTTTCAGAATTTATTGGCGGCATCGATCACGAACACTCTTATCAATGACGGTCCCTGCGATGGAAATTCCTCCGTGCCGACGGATTCCTTCAAACGGACGCGTTTTCGCTGTCCTTTCCGCTCGGAAACGTTCTCCTCTCCGGCTCTCGGCTCTCGGCGGACAGGAAATTTCGCAGGATGCTCGTTGGGCGCGGATGTAATAAAACGTAAAAAAGAAAAATGCCCGAACGAGACTGTATTTTTAAGGCGGTGCAATTTTTATTCTCGTGGACCATTCGTCGCAGGGAGTTGCGCCGATCAAAACTGAATCGACTTCTTCCAAATTGGACGAATCGAATTTGTACTGAGCGACCGGTTTACTGTGCTATGGTTAAAATATTTGTTTCTTTTTAATTTGCTATTACTTGGAACGACAACGAAAATAAAAAGGTTTCGTTTTTGAACTTTATCTGAATAAAATCTATTCTTATTTTTCCTAATTTTCCTTGTAAACAAAAATGGACAATTTAGGAAGAGGAGAGCCCTGCCGATGTAAATTTAACCGTGCACTGCCGTAAAATCGATCGGATTACAGTAAATTCTCCCTAATTCGCGCTCTGATCTCGCAGAAAAATAGACAATTTTGGAAGAGAAGATACAATTATTAATTAGAGCCTTGCATCTAGTTTTTATAATTGTTGACAATCGGCGACTACAAAAACGAGCCGCGAGACTCTAATAATCGCATCTTCTCTTCCAAAATAGTCCATTTTTGCTTCCAAACTGAGCGTCAATTAGGGAGAATTTACTGCAATTCTTAAATTACATTTGGCTCCGAAACCGATGTAAATTTAACCGTACAGTGCCGTAAAATCGATGGAATTACAGTAAATTCTTGCTAATTCGCGCTCAGATCTCGCAGAGAAATAGACAATCTTAGAATTGAAGATACAATTGTCAATTAGAGCCTCGCGTCTCGTTCTTACAATCGTTGGCAGTCGGCGACTACAAAAACGAGCCGCGAGGCTCGAAATCGTCCATTTCTGTTTCACAAGCCTTAGGAAAATCGGGGAGAATTTACCTGTTCATCGAATATATCCCGCGTTTCCCTTGTTCTCGCGTGTAATCTCGGCTCCCCCGATCTCTCCTCCGTCGTTTACGATCGTTCCCGGCGTCGGACGCGAGAGCCCATTCCTCGAACTATGCAATTACCTTGGTTTTGTCTTGCGACTTACTGCAGGGAGAATCATTGCGAAATCGAGCGGCGGCGGCGGAATAAGATGACCGCCTACATCACCGAACTATCGGACATGGTGCCGACGTGTTCAAACCTGGCGCGGAAACCGGACAAATTGACTATACTCAGGATGGCGGTCGCCCATATGAAGACCCTCAGAGGTGAGTACCCTTCTGCTACCTTCCTATTATCCGCGATTGAGTCATCGGTAACGCCGATCTCTCGCCCGGCCTCCCCGCATCATCGCGATCAATTCTCTCGCTTCGTCGGCTCGACTTTCCTAGAAAATGAAAACCACGGAAACACGTTGCCGGAATACGGCAACCATAATCTGGAGATTCGAGGCTTTCACGGCGTGTGGCATTGCACAGTTTTTAATGTCGCGGATCGTCGCGGCATTAGTTACTGTCTCCCTAATCGACGCTGAGATTGGGAAAATGGAGGATTTTTGAAGAGGAGATGCGATGCGTGACGTGACAAACCGATTTATGCACGAATATTCCCAGGGAAAAGAAATATATTTCTAGTGGAAATATCTGTCGACGGTCTAAACGTTAAGGTATAATAAATTCTCCCTAATTGACGCTCGGATTTTAGGGAGAAACGGAGAATTTGAGAACAGAGGGTGCAGAGAAGCATTTTGTTAATTGCTTTGTTCTTTCAGCTGGTAAACATTCCGTCGATCCACCATGATCCACCAGAGCCATAATTGTCCCTGAAAATGCGAGGAGCCGCTTCTCGATGAGATTGCCCTTGACGTCCTCTAATTCCCGGAATTTTCGAAATCAGCGGAGAAACGAGTCGCCGCAGCCGACGAGGGCTGCGATCTCGCAGCAGAACGATTTAGCAGCTGATTTTCGAAGCGGCGCATCGATGGCCGCGCGGAATCGAACTCGCACGCCGGGGCGTAATTCAATCGTCGGCGTCAAAACTCGAAGATCGCGTTGCCGAAGTTATTTCGCTGCCCGTGCCGGATAACTCAAAACATCGTGGGGACCGTAATCGTCACGTCCGTTCGCCGACTGTACTTTGCGACTGCCTTATCGGGCCCACCTATGGCCGCCGTTCAAATTCTACTTTCCTCGCGCCCGATAATGTCGGCGCAAATTCGAAACCTTGATTAGCCAGCTCCTACGGGCTCCGGGCTCTCCGGTAGACACAACCGAGAGGACATTGACCGGGCTGAACATAATCGGCACGTGTGCCATTCGTCCCGATCATCCACGAGCCCGCGAATCGAACAGAATCTCCGGCGGAAATCCGTTTCTACGAACTTTGCGCGATTCAAAAGTATAGGAAAAAATTAAATCGACCGTATAATGATATTCGTACGAACTATTTTTGCCATAATTGTTACTGTTTTTATTTAAATATAAAAATTGGAGACCCATTTTTGGGACATCAGCGGAATGTACTATGTATTTGAAATAATATTTCTCGACGGATATGTAAAACAAAGCCCAAAGAATTCATTGATCGAAAGTTTTCGATTTAGAAGTATTGCGAACACTCTGCGATATCAGAAATAAACAACAATGCACAAGATACAGTAAATACTCCCTAATCGACGTTCAGATTGTGCACAAAAATAGATAATTTTAGCCGCGAGATTCGAATAACCGTATCTCCTGCTCCCAAATCGTCAATTTTTGTTTAAAAAATGAAGGACAATTCAATTATCTACGTTTCCTCGAATACTTAACCCTTTGCACTCGAAGCCAAATTAACGCAAAATTTAAAACAACTTTTCTAACCTACAGTATTTTCATTTCAAATAACCTAGCGCATTTTATACGTATGAAATTGAATTTTCTGACTTGTGCAATAGTTTACGCTTTTAACAGCCCTTCAGAATATAAACAAATTCGATGAATAATATTATTTTGAAACGTGACAACAATTTTCAATGGCGCCCTGGAGTCGCCATTCGAGTACAAAGGGTTAAATATCGTGGAGAAAAGAGCAAAATTTTATTCCAACTTAAATGAACGGAATTCGTAGATTCATACTCGGCAGGCCCGTTTTTATGGCTGTCGAAGATCTCTGTATCCTCCTTTATGTCTTTCTCTCAAATTCTCCATTTTGTCTACGATCCGAGCGTTAATTAGGGAGACTTTACTGTACCAGAAGTTCCGGAAAAGTTCGCTGAATCGGGCATTGGCAAAAAATCTTGCTCCAATAAACGGAGTCCGGACAATCGATGTTATATCCGTATCCCTGCAGAGAGCATGTTTCAAGAACCATTGTGGCGATCCGCACGAAACCGTTCGCAGCAACACTTGCAACACTGCAATCTAACATTCGCTATGCGATCTTACCGATCTACGGCGTTGATCTTTTCGTCAGAATCTATTCGAATCCTTGCACCAGCGACTGGAAATATCTCGAGAACCACAGTGGTTGGTCCTATTTGCATGAAGTTTCGCGGTGCTGCAACCCGGTGCATATTTCCTACAGGATCTTTCCGACACGTAGATCTTTTCGTATACGAGACGAAGGACGATTTTCATCGAATTTTGCTGGATTCGTTGTTCAGATTCGAGCGAAGATTTCGCGTTCTGAAAATCGGTGGATTTTCTAGCGGCAAAATGACGCGCGTAGAGAATCGATCTTCGCAGTCTAGTTTTTCTTTTTTATTTATCATGCTATGAAATCTACTGCGGAGTTATTAGCACAATATATTTTCTAATATATTATTATAAAATTACTGTTATATATATGTTAGGTTGGTGCGTACGAAATGTCGGATTTTTAAGTGAATATATAGAACTGCATATCTTTTTTCAAAAGCTGTTTGTTCAATCAAAATATGCTCCATTTGCTTCAATAGATATCGCAGCATAATTACCGAGATTATACTCACCTAAAAAAATGACACAAATATCAGTTGAGTTCGTATCCCTGCGAAATTCAAAACAAATAACAAAATGGAACGCTTTTGAGAAAATCTTCTTTGTTGAAACGCGACTCTGGGACAGTGCGACTATGAATAAAAAGCATAACGAAAACAGGGATACAAACGTTCGCGTGTATAGAAAATCCGCAATTTCGTACGCACCAACCAAATATCATTTTTCCGACATCGAGCACAAAAGGACTGTGATTTTTATACTCGGAAAACCATTGGACGCTTAAACAATCCGAGTAGATGAAGAGATTCTCGCGCGGACACAGTTGCTAGAGATTTCAACGGTTTTTTAAATCTCCAGATATTCCGCGTCGCGGCCCAATTAATCGTAAAGTATCCTCGTTTAGGGAATCCTGGATGAGCCGAAGGGAGGGCTGCGGTCGTTCCGCGCGGTCCGTGTCCGGTTGTTGTCAGTCTCCGGGAACCCATCCGGCCGGCGGGTTGCACCGGAACGGTCGTAATTCACCGAAGGTTTCGTCGGTTGTTGGTCATATCGAATGCAGAAAGCGCGATTATATGCTTCCGGTGTAAGAATGGGTGGAGTTGCCCGTTCGGTCGGTCGGCTGTCCCTTTAGCCCCGACGCGGTGCGACGCGACGCGACGCGGAGAGCGCGGCTCTGCGTGCACACACGCGCGCTGCCAGCAAACGCCACGCATCCCCGCCGGCCCCCTCCCCTCCGCCCCCCTTTTCTGGATCGGTGTGCGTGCCGTGATTCCAGCTAAGTATTGGTGGTGCGTCGCATTGTTTATAGCCACTTCTCCTCTTTCCCGACAAGAGGGCCGCTGAATACAAATTGCTCGAACCGGAGAGCCTCTCTCTTACCTGACCGGGAGGAGAGAGGCTATCGCCTCCGGGATACGTCGACGTTCCCGCGTCCACGCACCCCTTGTCCTCAAACTTTCAATCTTCCCAACGGCGCTCTCTGGGAGCTCGAACGTGTTCCTTCCAATTCGTTCGGTTCTTTCTGCTCTGGAAAATCGCGTTCTATGCGAGTATTCGGGGTCCTAGGGGTCCTAGAATTATGAGGAGACTCCTTCGGGAAGGCGAGACAGCACCCCTCAAGGGAGCCGTCAAGGGAGATCCTCGCCGGCGACTCGCTGCGAATGCAACGAGAATCTCGGCGCAGGTTCGGGCTGGCTTTCGAAGGAAAATTCTAGACGGACGTCGTTCGAATTCGAGCGCCAGGGCCCGTCGAAAGAAGGCCCCGACCGTCGAAGGGAGACGGAGAAATTCGGTGCCGAACCACGGCACCAAAAATGAGGACGGAGCAGCTCGGCAGCGCAGGCAACTATCGAGGTGCAAGATCGGAATTGCAAAGCGGACAGGATCCCGCGAGGCGGCGAGCGGGACGCCGAGGGAGGGACGAAGCAGCGAGAGAGAGAGAGAGAGAGAGAGAGAGAGAGAGAGAGAGAGAGGGAGGAAGGGAGAGAGAGGGCCGCGATGCGATCTTTACCCCGATATACGGAGAAATTCCGGGAAGAGGTACTTTAACGACTTCCAAACAAGATCTATGGAAGACCCCGGGTGACCTTCGTTACCATTACCTTCCACGTGGAGAACGTCTTCGATGGACATTAATGCCGCGCGATTCGGTCGGCTTTTCTTCCAGCTGAACGCCGGAGACTGACGATGCGGCGTGCCGGCCCGCCGGCGATCTTAGCGCGCTCTTGATCGCGATCTATATATATACAGCGTTACGTTCGGCAGCGGCGTAAATCATAGCTCCCCGATGGCTTCACTTCCAACGAGATCTCGAGATATTCTCGCGCGATCCCTGCGCAGCGTTGCTCTTCTTCCGAGATCCTCGTCGAACGTCGCTGAACGCAGAACGTTCGTCGCTGAATTCTCGCAGAAATTCTGGTAATTCTCGATGAGAGGGTCGAAGAACGTCGAAGCGAGACGAAGTTGAAGTCGAGTCTTTTTAGGGGATGTTTTTAATCCGGCAGACCGATGTCCCAAGGTGTAGAACCACTCCGGTGGTCAAGTTTTTAGAGGATGCACGGCCGGCAGGTCGATAGGGGGGCGGGATGTTTAACAAAGGGACTATTAGATTGCACCCCGGAGCGTCTTCGATCTCCACGTAGAAGGGTGCTCAGCCATTCGTCCCGGCTCGAAAGTGTTACCCGATACACGTGCACTCCGCGTCGACCGAATGAACCTTCCCCGGCGGATCGATGCCGGCCGTTTCCATGAAACGTGATTCGCGAACGGTGTCCCTCTTCCGTCGATTAAGAGTCGACGGACTTTGTAATTTCACTCGATGCTCGGCTAAACGACGCGGATTTCTCTGTCCCAGGCAGCGGAAGCACGACCACCGACAACGCGTACAAGCCCTCGTTCCTCACCGACCAGGAGCTGAAACATCTGATCCTGGAGGCGGCCGACGGGTTCCTGTTCGTCGTGAGCTGCGACACTGGCAGGATCATCTACGTCTCCGACTCGGTCGCACCGGTTCTGAACTACACGCAGAGCGACTGGTACGGCACCAGTTTGTACTCGCAGGTCCATCCAGACGACACCGAGAAGGTCAGGGAGCAGCTGAGCGCGGAGGAACCGCAGCACGGTGGCAGGGTGCTGGACCTGAAGACGGGGACCGTGAAGAAGGAGGGGCAATGTGAGTGGGCGTCGCTTTTTCTTTATAGAGGCCCGTTTCTTCTATGGCTGATTGTACGGCGAGTCCTTGAAATGTCTCGCAATCGAGAATGTGGGCTCCTCAGGTCATTTAAAGCAACTTTTTCCTTTACAAAAATCTTCTACGAGGCTTCGTTTACGAGTTATCGACGAAAAACGGTGGCCAATGGGAGGCGAGCACGGCCGGCGCTTCGCCCTCGCGCCCAATGCCGCGCCGCGTCGGCTGCCTGACGCAGCGGTAGTGGTCGTGAGGGCGGAGCGTCTTCCGTTTAGCGTTTTTCGTTGATAACTCGTAAACGAAGCCTCGTAGAAGATTTTTGTAAAGGACAAAGTTGCTTCGAATGACCTCAGGAACGTCCCATTTTTGGATTGCGAGACTTTTTTGGACACCTTATAGACACTCGAGATTAATACTAGAACTAACGACTACTTCAAAACGACAGAAAAAAAGACAACCGTTTTACAATATTAATTATTTGCATATTTTAGAAAAAGCCACACAAAATTTTAGCAAACAGTATGTACTGAAAATGAATAATTATTACAAGAAACGCTAAACAAGTCATTTTGACCCCCTTTGGTATATCTAGTCTTAAACGAATGGACGGACCATGAACGTATATACCTGTTGCAGCTTCCATGAGGATGTGCATGGGCTCGAGGAGAGGCTTCATCTGTCGCATGAAGGTCGGGAACCTCCAGACGACCGGCGACATGGCCGCGGCCCACGGCCTGCACCGCATGAAGCAGAGGAACTCGCTGGGCCCGGCCAGGGACGGTCAGAATTACGCGGTGGTCCACTGTACAGGCTACATCAAAAACTGGCCCCCCACCGGTGAGTTTGGTACGGGTCCCAATGTTTCGTCGTTAATCGTCGGACATAACGGTCGGCCGCGACGTAGCGCCAACTTTCTATTTTAAAGCGAGGGAGACGGCGTGCAGGTGGAATATGAACGAACCCGCCTGGCTTCGTAGAAATACGGGGATAGCAACGTTTGTACTATAAATTAAGAGTTGCCGTGGCTAGAGCCGGACGGATCACGGACGGATAGCGTGCGGATCGGTTTATAAGAATGAATGGAATCGTCTTGACCTAACAGCCGGCGCAGACGGGCCGGAATACCGATAACTATGCCGGGCGCGGGCACTGGATGCGGAATTCGTATGCCGTGTCGCGGCCCTCGATACATATAATCAGGAAGACCGACTCGGTGCCGGTGATTTTGCCGGAGGTTTTCACCTTTCATTAGGATCGCCGTGCTGCGGACACCTGTTCCGGCTCGTCCGACCAAGTCAGTCGATTGAGAGCGTCCCTCGCGTTGAAATAGAAACTGGAGCTTGATATTTAATCGTCGTCGAATATCGAGTTGATCGAGACCGCATGGTTGCCAAAAGCCTATGGAGGCATTTCTGAGCCGAAAAGTCCCGAAGGGGCAAACTATTCTCTGGAAAGCGAAGAGACGGGAATGTCTCTATCGGCGCGAACATAAGATTAACTTGGTATAGGATAAGTAATTGTAGGCCTGACACACTTAGCACGACACTGTAGTACGCATCAGCATAGAAATCACAACCAGTGAATGATTATGAGGAGTCCTAGACTGATTCATAATTTTACGCTGTAGGTGATTTTGTTCCCCCATGTGTACCAGGTGTGGGCATAGGTGACAGAGGGTCTGGTAGTGTTCAAGCTAGACCTGACGGTGTAGTTGCAGATGAAAACACCAGCAGCAATTGCTGCCTGGTCGCCATTGGACGACTACAGGTCACTAGCACACCAAATAGTAGCGATTTAGCAGGTTCCAATAGCAATAATGGTGAGTACGAATGGTAGAAGTATCATTCGAAACGATATAAAATGATATCTTGAACCTTCTCTATGATGCGTATGATTTTTTTAGAATTTATCTCGCGTCACTCGGCCGAGGGTAAATTTACCTTTGTGGACCAAAGAGTCGGTGGAATTCTAGGCTACACACCTTCGGAACTCTTAGGTCATCCGTGCTACGAATTCTTTCACCCGGAGGACTTAACGCACATGAGAGAAAGCTTCGAACAAGGTAAAGTATTATTATTCCCTCGGATTCTGTTCCCCTCGTTCATTTTCGTTGACGAACGCCCGTTCTCCGCAGTGTTGAAGCTGAAAGGTCAGGTGGTGTCCGTGATGTACAGATTTCGAGCCAAAAATCGCGACTGGGTGTGGCTGAGGACGTCCGCATTTGCATTTTTAAACCCATTCAACGAGAACGTCGAATACATTGTCTGCACCAACACGCATACAAAGTAAGCACACTCCTACACCCGTCGCATATCTAAATCCAAATTCGTCCTAACGAATGCGCCCGTTCTTCATTTAAGATCATTCCATCCTGGCAGTGATGGACATACAGAAACCGAAGCTGTGCCTGCCTACGGACAACCCGGCTTGGACTATTCTCTTCAAAGACATCCTGCTAGGGACCCGCTGTACTCGGGTCATCACATGATGCAGCATCCAGCGACTGTAGCCACAGCTGGTATGTTATTGGTATATAAAAAGAGAAAAGTATGTTTCTCCTTACTTTGTCTCCTCCTTCAATTGCGTGACTTTGTGTGCCAGGTCCTCAGCAGCCCAGGCCGTCCAGTACACAGAACGTATATCAGGGATACGAAACCACACAGTCGCCGATAGCTTATGGCTCACCTGGCCAGCAGAGCGCATCTTCCTCGGTTTTAAGTAGAATCCAAAAGCCGGCTAATACATCCCCGACCCCGGTGCAACAAGCTTGGGCTATTGGAAGACAAGTGAGTGCATCGTACCTGTTTTCCTGTTCTGAATCTTTTTTTTTAAATTGCTAACTCATTGCTGTTTCTCTCCGTAGCAACCTGTAACAGAAGGATATCAGTACAGTCAATTAAGTCCATCTAGGTCACCGAGCGGACCAACTTATACTCAATTAAGTAGCGGCGCCAGGACACCGGCTACGCAGTATCATGCAGTCACCACAGTGCCTAATAACTCGGGTGATTATGGATAGCATTGGATTTTGTACTTGAATTTACTTAGCTCTGCGAAATTTCGCTAATGATGAATTCATACAGGTATGTGGGGGTGGCAGAGCCAACAACACCAAGCATCTCAGCCAGACGGCGGACAATCAAATCCTCAGGTGACTGGGCAAGCCCAGGCGCCTCACCCTGCTCAGGGTGGACCTGGCACGCAACCACAAGAGCTCTCGGACATGTTACAGATGCTGCAGGACCAGGGCGGAGCGTCCGGTTTCGAGGAGTTAAATATGTTCAATACTAATTTCGAGTAGCGACAAGGAAATAGCATCGAAGAATGTCTACCTTAAGGGAGCTTTAAGGTTTCGAAATCATTGGCACTGTCTCGAGATCACGCCGAGCATTCATAATCAGCACTTTTACTTCAGCAATTAATTGAAAGTTCGCAATTAGCACCTCACGTATTATTAAACTTGACCCGAATCGGCGGCAAGGGGTAAGGTCGGCCTAACTTCGTCGGTTCGTTAGCGTTTGTTTTTAATGAGAAGTTTCGATTCGATCGCGTCGAAGGAGATACGATTTCAAAGATCGTACGAGATGTTCGGATAATTCGTCGGAAATTCATGAATATCGTTTTTTGTGAAAGTGCCATTAAACGTGTCGTTGGGAAAAAGGGAAACACAGAAAACTGCTAAATCATCACTTATAATACGCACAGATGAATCACACAGTGGATGAGGTCTAGGTAGCTTTTTAATAATACGCGGACTTTAGTGGTTCGATACGATGATGATTAATTACGAGGATCGTTCGTACGAGAGCTATGATTTTTATTTTTTAAGTTTGTTCGTTTATCTCTTTGTGGATAAGAATCGTGTTGAATGAATCATTGTGGAAATCATTCTTCTTCTATATATTACTTCCTGTTGTTGATCTGATTTTAGAGCGTAAGAAGAGCAGTCGTAGAAACAATGTTGTAAATTAGAGATCGAACTGATTGAACTCTCTTCGTCCTGATTTTTAACGAAATAAACGCAATTACGTAGGTAAGTTATATTTAAATTGTACATGGAACCGGAGAACTGTAACTGTCGAAGGAGCCGCGAAAGTTTCGCGGGGCTATTGTTGATGGATGTAAGTATGTATAAATTTTTCGATGAAACAGAGGATACCTGTGAGATCTGTAATTGTTCGGAAAGCGACGCATCGTTTAAGATTTCGGACTATTAATTGGGACTGTGCGTGTATCGTGTACGATCGCTATCACCTTTTACATTGTTATAGGAGTTTAACATCGCATCTGTGCTTATTAATAAGTAGTACGGAATAATATTTCCGATTTTATTGAAAGAAACAAACGAAAGAGCACTTCGACTAAACAAAAAAAAAAAGAAAAGAAAAATACTAAAATTAACGAGGTGCACCCTAAAAAGTTAAGGGTGAAGAAAAGTATTTTTAAAACTTCTCAATCAAATCTTATACAAATCACGGTAATTTTAATACCAGCTTATCGTTAGATTTCTAAGACTAGCTTAATTATTTTAATTTAGATCTTTGTAATTATAAACAGTGCAATCATAAGAATCAACACTCAATGGACAACAAAAAAAAGAAAGAAAAGAAAGCAAGATTGTTTGAACTTGACGATGTACAAAAAAGAAATTATGTAATCCACTTTTGCTTCTCTGTGCAAGACATCATTTTTAGATATTCCTAAAGAAAAATATAGATAATGTTATACATACGAATAATTGCATTTATAAGTAACCACGTGTGATTTAGCGCATTTGTACATGTCTAGAGAATTCCGATAAGCAAGATTGAAACGAAAAATTGCAGCATATCAATATTGAATTGGGAACATTTTTACTAATATATAAAAGTATACAATACGCGTACGATTCTTTTTAATCATCCTATGTCGAAAGTAGTTCCACTAACGGACAATAATTAATGTGTCGATGTGTGTGTGTGTGCATCGATACGTATATGCAAATGATTTGATTAAATTGCGAATCGCATCTGTGAAACATTTCGGGGCCCTTTAAACCTTGATCATTTTTGATCATGCTACTCCATCACGCCCTCTATGAAAGTAAGATCAGCTTTTCGAACTTGATTTCGTGCGAAAAATAGTTACCTGAAATTTTTATTATAATGCAATTATTTAAAAATAAATAACGAAAGAATAATATGCGCTCGTATAAAATGAAACTATTATTTATAGATTCCTCCAGTGCGCTTATTATATTACATAAATATAAAAGTTGTATGAATCACGGATCAATTGGTAATATAAAGTCCACATTCGTGTTGGAAGGCTGGCGTAATTATTCAACCCTTTACACTTTGTCTCGTGAATCTGGTATAAAATTTAAACGAGCGAAACTGTACAACATGTTCTTCTGTATTTAAAAAAACTATACAAAAATTATAATTTCAGTTTAATCGCGGACAACGCGTTCTTTTGCTTTTTCATGGAACGTGCCTCAGTCTTGGACTTGATGTGACTCTTCACCTGGTCTTGCAATTGATTGAAGAACGCGGTGGACGACTTCGGAACCTTTTGCCCCACCTCATCCATTTGGATAATGTTTCGATTTTTCACCAATTTCTTTGTCAATTCTGCCACTGCTTTGTCCTTCTGGTATTTCTTCTGTATTCCCGGCTTCTTCGCGTTCAGTTCCTCTTTCTTCTTCATGTCGTTTTGACGAGCACGTTGCTTCATCTTCTTGTGCCTTCGTTCTCGTTTCATATCCGTCTTTGTTCTTTCCGCTTTGCCAATAAGATTGCCTCGTTGTTTTCCTGTGAAAATAAACAATAAATTAATGATATAAATGAATATCTGAAAAATACATACACGTTGTTCTCAATGAAGCACCTACCCTTAATTTCTTCTGGAGCCAATAAAGCAGCATCGCTAATCGCTACCGGTGCCACTTCCTCCATATTAATGGCCGGAATATTGCTGACAATCTTAATATCCGGTTTCGCCTGAAACAAGTACATAGAATCGATAACAAGAGGTAAAACGAATAATAAGTTGCAAACGTTTTAATAATTTTACTGGTTTGGGGGTGTAGTGGAAGTTTGATAGCGCATCCAACTTTAAGAACACAGCGTGCATCATTTCCCGGATTTCCGTGTGCAACTTTGGCTCCTCTTCCTCTTTCTCCTCGTTGTCTGGATTCAATGCTTGCTTCTGTTTAAGATATTCATTCTCATAAATTTGTGACAAACTTTCTTTGCTCTTTTCCTGGTTCAATATCAGTTTCTTTTTGTATTCCATTGGCGTCTCTACTGGTTTGAATTTTTTCTCAACATCGTCCCAAGCTTTATCCTTTATTCTTTGCTTAATTATATCTTCCAGTTTAAATGTTGTTTGCTCGGTAATGATTGGCGCGGGTCTTGTTGTTATATCAAATTCAACAAACTCTTCCAGCAAAGAATTCTGCGGCCTGCTAGCAGCGCTTACCTCGCCCTTCAGCTGCCAAGGTTTCTCTCCTACTGCTTGTTGTTCTAACTGTTTAATTCTCTCGAGTAATCTATCTTGACGAGATTCGAGGGAGGATTTTAGTTTGTTTTCTTCTTCATTTCTATTAACAGATTTATTTTCCAAGCTATCCGTATCGTCGGAATCATTTGTGAGATTGAAACTAACTTTCTTCTTGATGGATTTGTGCTCGTCCCCTTCGTTATCCGCGTCCATTGGTTCATCCGAATCACCGTGTAGAGAATAATCGTCTACGTCTACATTGTCATTATTTTTATGCTGCTTAGGGACGTCTTCGTCCTCGCTCTGTGGACTATCAAAGAAATCTGTATACTTCAAGAGCTTCTCTTCTCCGCTTTGGTCATCGTCGTTGTCAGAAAAATCATTGAATAGATCAACCGATTCCTCGTCAGAGTCTTTCTCATTCTTTTCACTTTGTATCTCCTTCCTTTCTTCCTTCGTCAAATATTCGTCTAATTCTTGTAATTTAAAGAATTTGTCATCCACTATGGAAGGTTTCTTTTTCTTTATCTTCCCGTCTTTCTTTCGATTCCTTAAATTACTGTCCAACGAAGTCTGATCATCCGAAGCATTGTCCTCGGACATGCTTTCTTCTTTTTCATCATTGTCTACCACTGTTTTTTTAATACTACGCACAATTTCTGGCTTCCTTACGGTCACTGGTATCTTCAATTTCTTGCTTTCGGTTAGAACCTTTGAGACACCAGTTATAAAATGCGTAAGTTCACCTTCATTCTGTAGCTCGAGTTGCTGCCAGATCTGCTCTTCGTCGAAACCTTCTGTCACAAGCTCCGGCAGAGCGTTCGTTTTTCTTTTCGATTGCTCTTTCGTGAAGTCGTATAAACGCTTCGTTGATTTTTTAAACTTTAACGCTGCTGCATTTTGTACGCTAAAACATGTTTAACGAATTCCCTTATATCAACTCCGATTGTTACTAATACATACCAGATTAGCTCGATAAAACGAAACAAAATTTGCCTACCTCAAAAACTGTTCTGGTCGTCTAGTATTATTATCAACTACAGAGACCACATAACTAAGTAGTTCCGCTGCAGACATCGTAAATGCACATCTATTTCAAAATTACATTAACAAGTTCCCCATCAAAAGGTTATGTTCGTACCACGTACGAATAGCACGGGCAACTACAGGCACGACATCTACAAACGTATTGTATATACCCTCCCGGTGGGTACGGGAACACTATCGACACATAGCTGAGAAACGCCGAACTAACTTTCTCCTACCTAGCTTCGCCGCTAGATAGCGCCACCGTTCAGTTTTTGCGCTTAGTTCGACGTTCCGTCAAATATTTATTAATTGAAGAATTCTCGTCGGATCTTTTTAATATAATATCGACGCAAAAGTGTCTTCTAAACAACCGTACGTGTTTGGTTTATGTATTTGTATCCTAATTATGCCATAATAAATGTTTTTCGACAATCCTTAACTGCGCACATACGAAATATTCAGTGTTTTATCGTGTATAGTGTTATAGTGAGGTTATAGTGTTCCCGTGCTCGTCGCGAGGCTATTTTTCGAAAAATCAGACACTAGCCATTGTTACGACAATTCCAAATGTAATATCAATGCACAATAGTGCTAGTTTTGAACTATCATGTCAGAAATATTCATATTTCCCTGCGCACTTTAAGCATCGAACGTCGAAAAGTGGACGATTTATATGTCGCGTAGAAAACGATACGCATCAATTGCAACTCTCGATCCACGAAAATCATGCGGAATCGGAAAATTTTCATCGCATCGATTCCGCGCGCTTCAAACGTCGACTCTCGACATCTCGAATCGAAGGGCGCGAAAGACTCGAACGATCCGAAAAGACGAAACGTGCGATTACCGCCGCCGTTGGCCGCGCGGTGCTGCCATCTGGCGGCGGCCTGCCGCGAATCCGTTCCCTACCCAAGTCCCTAGCGAACCTACGACTACATTCACGCTGCGGCGGAGCATTTATACGGGTGGACTGCAACCAGGCGCTTTAGTCTCTGGTTGAGATGCGAGGCGTGAGTATGGGGTACGAGTGCAGCCCGCCAGGCGTGAACTGCATCGAGAATTGAAAACAATAAACACCGGGGGAGGATCCGTGTATGACGTCCTGTTTTCACCGGCGTGTTCTGTCCACAAACAGAATAAACAACAACGGCGCATTGTCCGGCGAACGGGGGATCGTTCTCGCCTGTCCACCTCCGCGAATCATTTTTTTTTCCCCCGGGATATATTTCTCCGTTTCTCTCTGTCAGTGAATACTCGGAACGCGAGCTGTCACTCGCAAATGTACGGTTAATCGATCCGCGTGCAATAACGAGACGTCCGGACCGCGTCGCTCGATGCGAGCCACGGCAACGCGGCCGAATCGCCAAACCGATCCGAGCGATTCCCGGGGTTAAATCGTTTCGTCGTCGTCGTCGTCGTCGATGCGACAATATTCGCCGCGTGTGCCTCCTAGGGATACGTGAAAGGGACAGCCCAACGTTCTCTGCTGGATACCTCCGGGATTGGTGAGTTGTCACTGTTCATTTTTTTTTCCATTGTTTACCGCTCCTCCATTTCCGATCTGGAGAAAAACAGAGACGGGGGTTGGTTGCTCCGCCACCCCTATGGTTCCCCCGCGCACAATGGCAACACGGTTTTTTAAATTCCTCGCTCTTTTAACATTTTTCTTTTTTTTTGGAAGTTCATTGATAGTTTTACGAACTTCGTAGCTCGTTCGAGAAAATATGACAGTAATGACGGGAAAAATGAACGCGTCCTTCTGAATCATCCAGGCGCGCGGGTTTATTTCTAATCACCGCGAAGTTGCCGACGCACATGGGCTTACCAGTCTCTCTGATCTTCTCGCGTGGATCGTTCGATTAATATCGATATGAGACAACTGGACCGTGGATTTTTACGTAGAAATAAAAATTGTTCGTTTCAATTTTTTTTAAAGGTTCGATAGACCGAAAATAATGACGTTTGAAAATTCCTTTGGTCGGTTTACTATTTTGTATTGCATTTTCCATTTTTCCCACGCAGCCTACTAAAATCTGATTAAGCTTCTAATTGGTGCAACGCGAAGATTTGTTTAAGCTTTTTGTATATAAATAATAATAGGAACGTTTAAACGAACGAATGGCGCGCTGTGTATCGATGCGGTCGTTTCGGGGAGCAATTAGGGTGGTTATTCTATTTATTAATTAATTAATTTTGTCAATCGATAGGTATATTATCCTTTAATATAGTATATAGATACTATATTATAATAATATATAGATAATATATTAATAATATATAGATACTATATTAATAATATATAGATGCTATATTAATAATATATAGATGCTATATTAATAATATATAGATGCTATATTAATAATATATAGATGCTATATTAATAATATATAGATGCTATATTAATAATATATAGATGCTATATTAATAATATATAGATGCTATATTAATAATATATAGATGCTATATTAATAATATATAGATGCTATATTAATAATATATAGATGCTATATTAATAATATATAGATGCTATATTAATAATATATAGATGCTATATTAATAATATATAGATGCTATATTAATAATATATAGATGCTATATTAATAATATATAGATGCTATATTAATAATATATAGATGCTATATTAATAATATATAGATGCTATATTAATAATATATAGATGCTATATTAATAATATATAGATGCTATATTAATAATATATAGATGCTATATTAATAATATATAGATGCTATATTAATAATATATAGATGCTATATTAATAATATATAGATGCTATATTAATAATATATAGATGCTATATTAATAATATATAGATGCTATATTAATAATATATAGATGCTATATTAATAATATATAGATGCTATATTAATAATATATAGATGCTATATTAATAATATATAGATGCTATATTAATAATATATAGATGCTATATTAATAATATATAGATGCTATATTAATAATATATAGATGCTATATTAATAATATATAGATGCTATATTAATAATATATAGATGCTATATTAATAATATATAGATGCTATATTAATAATATATAGATGCTATATTAATAATATATAGATGCTATATTAATAATATATAGATGCTATATTAATAATATATAGATGCTATATTAATAATATATAGATAATATATTAATAATATATAGATCCTATATTAATAATATATAGATGCTATATTAATTTATTAAACATATAATTTAAATTATAATTTAAAAAACAAAACAACACATCTCGAATCGTATTTGAAATTCTGTTCTTCCAAAAGATCGAATTGCGATTATTCTGCGAAAAACATCTCGCGAGATTTCATCCCCGAATATTGAAACAATAGAGAAAAAAAATCGCCCGCGTCGCAGATCGTCGGGCGCGCGTGTTCAAATATAATATTTAGAACCTAGTTGTTATCTCGCGCACCAATATTTGTGTAATATCTCTGTATCGTTTGTCCAACGTTTCTTCTTGGACCATGTTTTCCGGACCTGTTTTCTCTCGCTGCTTCCCCGCCCCCTCTGATTATTTTTCTTCCGTTTAGCGCCCTGCTCGAGCAAACCGTCTTCTGTTATCATTATATCACTAATAATATTATCTATTATATTATTAAACCTTTGCGCTCGAAACCATTTTAACTGTAAATCTAAATTAGTGTTTTGGACTTATGGTATTTCCATTTTACATGACAAAGCGCATTTTATGCGTATGAAATTTGGCCTTGTGACTCATACAACGGTTAGACTCTTGATAATCTTTTACATCTAAAGTTTGATGATATGAAAATTATCTTGGAACGTGATGTAACAATTTTTTAATGGTGCCTCGAGTGCAAAGGGTTAATATATTATCTAATTGTCATTAATATAGTATCTATATATTATTAATATATTATCTATATATTATTAATATAATATCTATATATTATTAATATAGTATCTATATATTATATATTAATATAATATCTATATATTATTAATATAGTATCTATATATTATTAATATAGTATCTATATATTATATTAATATAGTATCTATATATTATTAATATATTATCTATATATTATTAATATACTATTTACAAATTATTAATATATTATCTATGTATTACCACTACATATTATCCATTATCGTTGTCACAAATAACAAACGAAGTAAATCTAACGAAAAGAAAGCTATAAATACAATCATAAAATAAACGCAAGTATTCTCAGCGGAGAGAGAATAATTCCGAGAACGTACGTAGATCGCAGGGGAAATAAATGCTGGGGGAAAAAAAATGCGGGCACGCGAGATTCGTCCAGATGCGTCGTCCGCCGTGCATTCGCGGTTCTGTACGTTGCCGGGAAAAATATTTCCCGCGGTCGCATGACACTTGAATAGAACGGTATGATAGGTCGGATTGCTTTCTATCGAAGAAAAAAGGTGTATTGTTTCGTTCCGTGTGCCCGTAGAAAGGAGGCTCCGACCGAGATTCGACGAGAGCCTGTCGTGGATTATCGCGGCGCAGATAGATCGCGCCGGGTTCATTGAAGTCAGAGACAATTAGCCCGGCGAGCCGCGTTTATCTCTGTAAAATGAACGGAAGATGGGAGATAAGTTTTCGGGCGACGCGACGGAAAATACGCGCTCGAAACGCTAATGAAACGCTGTCCGCGCGCGAACGGCTCGCGTTAAGATCGCGTTTACGGAGCGCGAAAAAACAGCTGTTTCGTGTTGGTTTGCGAAAGCAACGCGACAAGCAACGACTCGTTCGACGATTTTTATTAACAAGCGTTGTTGCAACGCGTTTGCCGTTAAGCGGCACATCGATCGAATAAATAACTCGTAAATGAGACGAGTTGCAGTAATGTCTCCCTTACTGACGCTCGGATTGTCCACTAAAATGGACAGTTTGGGAAGACACGATTGCTCGAGCCTTGCGGCTCTTGTTTTTATAATTGTGGAGAATTTATAACTGTAAAAATAAACCGCAAGGCTCGAATAACCGTATCTCCTCGTCCCAAATTGTCCATTTTGGTGGACAATCTGAGCGTCAGTAAGGGAGACATTACTGCAACTCGTATTATTTACGAGCTATTTATTCGATCGATTGTCCACTAACATGGACAATTTGGGAAGAGGAGATACGATTGTTCGAGCCTTGCGACCCTCGTTTTTATAATTGTGGAGAATTTATAACTGTAAAAATAAACCGCAAGGCTCGAATAACCGTATCTCCTCGTCCCAAATTGTCCATTTTGGTGGACAATCCGAGCGTCAGTAAGGGAGACATTACTGTAACTCGTATTATTTACGAGTTATTTATTCGATCGATTGTCCACTAAAATGGACAATTTGGGAAGAGGAGATACGATTGTACGAGCCTTGCGACCCTCGTTTTTATAATTGTGGACAGTTTATAACTATAAAAATAAACCGCAAGGCTCGAATAACCGTATCTCCTCGTCCCCTGTCTCTTATACACATCTAGATGTGTATAAGAGACAGGTACGAGCCTTGCGACCCTCGTTTTTATAATTGTGGACAGTTTATAACTATAAAAATAAACCGCAAGGCTCGAATAACCGTATCTCCTCGTCCCAAATTGTCCATTTTGGTGGACAATCTGAGCGCCAGTAAGGGAGACATTACTGTAACTCGTACTATTTACGAGTTATTTATTCGATCGATCGTCCACTAAAATGGACAATTTGGGAAGAGGAGATACGATTGTTCGAGCCTTGCGACCCTCGTTTTTATAATTGTGGGGAATTTATAACTATAAAAATAAACCGCAAGGCTCGAATAATCGCATCTCCTCGTCCCAAATTGTCCACTTTTGTGGTCAATTAGAGAGACATTACTTTATTACGATATGAATAGCGGTAAATAAAAGAAATTGAAAATGAAAAAGTGCTCCGCCGGAGCAAATGTTTCGTTAGAAAATATTGATATCTGTAGTCGTTGACGAACGATCGCTTAGTCAGATACTTGGAAACTCGTCGTTGATCCGTGAACGCGCGAATTTTATTGCGATTACGGAGAACGCATTGTTTTCTTCGATAAAAAAGAAAGAAGAAGAAAACAACCATCGTTCAATAATAATCCGCGAATTGTTTGCCCTCGAGAGTGTGCCACGTTCGATCTATTTATCGGCGCGCTTCGGCGAAGCGGTTTCAGCGAGGAGAGAGCGATAAAAACGCGCGAAAACCGAGCGAACGCGGTCTCGAAGATTTTTCGCGCAAGGTCAGTTTTTAATCCCCCGATAGTTCTAGGGTCGCGTAACACACGGCGGGCCGCGACGGTTATTTATGCACGCGGCTCCGTTTTTGGCGAAAATTGATTTCGGTGCGGCCGCTCTCCGCGCCTTTTTTCCCGCTTTGTCATTGAAGCGCGTCGGGTCTATTTTTAAGCCGCGCGTCGCCATAAAAGTCCCAATAAATTTTCTCAAAGTCCGCCGGGTGACTCATCTGTCCTCCGCGCGCGGTTTAAAACTCGC